AGAAGGGGCAGCAGAGCGGAGATGGAGGTAAATTGTGTGTGCTCGTTGATAGGGAGGGCAGTCCAACAGAATGTGGCTAACAAATACTGGAACTTGACAATTCTCACAGAGAGGAACAGGACGCCTCTCCATGAGATACCCATGAGTAAGACGAGTGTGGCCGATGCGAAGATGAGAGAGAGTAGTCTCCCAACCTCGACACCGACGACAAGAAGATGGCCAGAGTCGTCGTTTGCAAAGGCATTTCGAATATACGTATTGAAGTGGAGCAAGGGGTCTAAAGTAGAGCAGCCTTTGCGAAAGCCATATTGGCGAGGGGAAAGTCTATTGTGTCTCTCTGAGAACCACATCAGACGTCTATTCACCAATTGTTCCATCACCTTGCAGACCACGCTGGTCAGGGCAATGGGACAGTAATGAGAGATGTCTAGCCCTGAGGGCCCAGTTTGCGAAACGGCAGTATAATAGTTGATTTCCAGTGTTGTGGGAGAACCCCTCGCTCCCAAATCAGATTGAAAAGACGTAAAAGAACAGTTAGAGCTGTAGAATGGAAATGGTGTAACATACTGATGTGGATATCATCAGGTCCCGGTGCTGACGGCCGGCACATGGAAAGCACGGACTCTAATTCTAGAAGAGTAACAGGTACATTATACAGCTCCAATCCATTGGAGAAGTCTAAGGCCAATTGCTCTTTGGTACGCTTAGAGGCAAGAAATGAGGGACAGGTGAAGCCCTCGGAAGATACAGACAGGATAGTTCCCAGTTGCCACAGCAATTGGGAACAGAGTTCTACGACGTCAACTCCAGCAACCCGCAAAACGGAGCTGGGTCCGGAGTGTATTTACCACACAATTTCCGCATGTTTTTCCAAATCATGCACATAGGGGAAGAGAAGGTATTGGTAGACGTAGTCTCACCAACAGGTGCGTTTAGCGTTGCAGATGACACGGCGAGCAACTGCCCTTGCCTGCTTGAAATCCAACAGATGCTCTGCAATATGATTATACCGATAAAAGCCCCATGCAGTATGTTTTAAATGCACTGCATGGGTGCATGTAGGAGACCAAGGTACACATGCCTGAGAATGCCTACCTGAGGTTTGAGGGATAGAATGTGTTGCTGCAGTTAGGACTAAGGTCGAAAAGTAGTGTGCCAGTTCATCAACAGAGGACGAAAAGGGTTCCTCACAACAGGTGGTAAGATGGGAGTACAAGTCCCAATCTGCTCGAACAAATTGCCAACGACTGCTACGAATGGTCGGGCATACACAGTAGTAGTAAGAAGGATGGGGAAGTGATCATTACAGTGTAAATCTGGAAGAACAGACCACGCGAAATCAAGTGCAACAGGCGAGGAACAGATAGGAAGATAAATGCAGGAGACGAGTACGAGTCAAAATGGGTAGGAGCACCCATGTTTAAAACATGAAGAGGACGAGAAGTGAGAAGAGTCTCCAAGTGATCACTACGAGTCGCAATTGGGACCCTTCCCACAGATGGCGAGCGTTAGAATCACCCAACAATATGGGTGGCGGTAGAGATGAAATTGAGAGACTGATATCAGAGATACAGAAGGCACGAGAAGGAGACAGAGCAAACTGTAAACCATCGGTGTAAATACGAGCTGCAGAATAATGCAGCAGGGAATGAATAAAAATTTGTTGATATGGTATATCAACACGTACAAGAAGCATACTTTCATTAAGATTTGTCAGGTAAAGGATCGGAAGAATGTATCAGCAAGTAGCCTGAAACTGGGTGAATGACAGCAGAACGAATTTTCGGCTCTTGCAAACCAACACACATCGAGGACAACTGGGAGAGCAACAATTGGAGTTCTCCTTAGTTGTCCCTAAGGCCACGAATATTCCATTGTAAAAAAGACATTATGTACAAAAATAAAATGAGAAGAAACGGTAAAACCTATGGGTTTTTAGGATCAGTACAGTTAACGTGTGGGGGTAACGGTAAGCAAGAATTAGAATATTGCGGAGGAATAGATTGTTGTATGGGTTGTGAAATAAAAGGGGCAGATGGAGGCTCGTTTGTTTCCATCGGGGGTGTCGTCTCCTTTATATAGCTGGAGATAGAGTCTAACGTCTCGGTTGATAAGGAAGCTGATGAAGCCATTATGTCAAACAGGAGAGGCATTGCAAGTAAAGGTCAGAGTAACTATGGAGGCAACCAAAGAGGGCTGAGGAGGGTAGGGAGTATGAGCCTGGAGAGATGCATTGGCTGTGGGAGAAGAGTCTTGCAGTGTAAAAGAGGAAGGAGGTTGCAGGGCAACTATGGAAGACCAGGGGAGGAACAGGGGAAGAGGGAACTACACTGGGGGGGGGGTGAACCTCCACCTTTTTTGCAAGAGCTGGAAAGGGGGCGAAAACTAGTCTCCGAGGTAGAAGATAGATTCTGTACAGGAGATGGACATGAAGAAAGTATAGGTCTGCGAGGTCTAGTAGACTGAGGCGAGCGAGCGAGATGAAGCAGAAGCAGAAAGTGGTGTGGAGGGAGGAGTGTCAGAGGATAAAACTGCAAAAGCATTAGAAACTGGGGCAACTCTGGGAGCCATGGATGCAGAGGTAATGGGAGGCAGGAAGACTGTCGAGGTTGGAGGTCTACAGGCTACTCGAGTGTACAGGACAAGAGGAAGTTTTCCTTGAAGGCAGAGCCAAGAGACTGCCACAGTGTAAGGCCCTCGCGCTCTAAGGTAACGAAACTCTCGTTCATCAAGATAGACCTGGCAACGGCGGGAAAAGGAAGGACGAGGTTCCTTGCAATTGAGACAAGAGGGGAGAAGACTACAAGACTTATTTGATCTACTGCACTGCAGATCGGGCATTCCACCACAGATCTGCAGTGTTTAGTGGGGTGCCCAAGATGCCAGCAGTTACGACACTGTTGGGAAGTGGGAACTACTTGACGTACCTCTAAACGATGTCCCGCAATATAGACAGAGGACGGAAGTTCATGGCAGTCGAAGATTAAATGAACGATGTTGCTAGGAAAGCGCCTATGCCCACTAACGGGGAGGATGTATGTAACTACCTTAAGAACAGGAAGGTTTTAAAGGACTAATTGTTCCAAAATATCACCTGAAGACAAAAAAAATCACTGTACAATGGTACACTGTAAGACCACAATCACTGCAAGAATTAAGAGTAGCGTGCTTAACAGACGGTGACCAGTATGTTATCAATAGAAGTGATGCGGGAGAGTATGCACTTGCTCTGAATTCTGTAGTTACGACACGCGCACCACTTCGAAGAGCGTGGAAAGATACATTTTGGCCAATGTGCCTTAAGAGTTTTACCAATTCCATGATCAGACAGATAATCCGTTTGAGACGTCGTTCGTAAAAAGAATTTTGTCCAATGCACACTAGTCACACCAACTACCTAGAAACTGTAATGCCAAAGGGGAGGACCCCAGAGGCTACAAACAGGACAGAAAACAAGAGGGTGGGGAGAGGGTAGGAAAGGGGAAAAAAAAAAAAAAAAGGGGAGTATGGGGGGTAGGGAAGGGAGGATTGGGGGGTAATTAGGTTCGGTCAGAGGAAGAAGACCAAGAGGTCCAATTACTCAGACCGATAACCTCTTCATTGCTGCAAGGAGCCCCCCCCCCCTTAAAGAGGCCTGTATTAACAAAATGACCACAAACGAGCAAAGGTCATTCAGGACCATACCCCGGCCGGGATTGAACCCGCGGTCAGAGTCTCAAAACTCCAGCCCGTCGCGTATGCAATCGTGTCATTACGATTTCGTGAGTCATTCAGGACTGTACTGTAAAGGAGTGAGGATGTTAGGGTGTAATAGTGTGGCCATGAGCAAGCTCTTGGAAAAGAAAAAGTCATAGCTGGTGAACTAAAGAAGTTTAAGAAAAAGCTTGCACTTAAAGTGGAACACTCCATGGTAATTACAGGCAGTGAGGGGTATCAGGGTTTTGGAGTGTGTTTCAAAAATAAGGTATACAAGCTTTTTGATTAAGGTCTATAGACTAAACAGAGATCATTCAGAAATCTTACTCAGTAAAAGGACTTATTAATTTATAAACAGTACTCTTCCTGATTACATGATTTTAGAAAATATAAATACTGTACAAGTATTTTAGCAGTTAAAAGTATTACAGTTCCATTCAGTTTTTAATTTTAAACGTGACCTCGATTAAATTTTTGGTTACAGCCACTGAAAACATTGAAATGTTTATAGCAAGTGATATATTTAAGCTTTTATAATAATTTATTAGCTTTGCTTTTTAAAACCATCTCTCACCAAGATAGGTAAACAACATCACCACTGATTTAACTGCCACCTTGCCGAAGAAGAGCTAATATCACATCCAAATGACCCTCTGAAATGCAGCATCCTCACCCCCTTTCTTAAAAGTGCAGGCATAGTACTACTTTCAACCTCCAGGACTTGGTTAAAGGTACACAAAATTTATATTATAAAGCAAATCAGGTATAATGAAATTTATATTTAAAGTCCTAAAAGGTTTGCATACGAATAAACATTAATTTTCTTGAGTTAACTACTTTTTACCAATTGTATGCTTTACAAGTAAAAAATAACTTTGCCACCTATATGTGCTCGATAAAATTACTAAATCTGATTTTACTGAACATACATACTTCCATGGGGAAGTGCAACAGAATTCTTCCTCCGTAAGCCATGCGTGTCGTAAGAGGCTACTAAAATGCCGAGAGCAAGGGGCTAGTAACCCCTTCTCCTGTATATATTATTAAATTTTAAAGGAGAAACTTCCGTTTTTCCTTTTGGGCCAACCCACCTTGGTGGGATACGGCTGGTACGTTGAAAGATTTATTTACTATACTAGCTATAATTTTAAATTTTTAGAACATTACCAATTGAAATAACACAAATTTTTGACAAATTATGATCAAATTGGCAATATGCAATCTGACTGCTATATGAAACTATTGTACATTTTTTAGATTCAGACAAAATCAAAGGGCAAGTTTACATAAAAAAAAAACTAGTATTATGTTCTGTTATGTTTTACTGCATTCTTAGTACAAATAATAAGTTCATCTTAATATAACCTCTAAAATGAGGTCGTACATATAATTTTCACAAATTATAAACTGTATTTTCCTAGTTATTTCATCCTTCAGCTGTACCATCTCGCATGTTTCTCTTGCCATCCAAAAATCACAGACATAATTAAAACTAGGAATAGAATGAGAGGGACTCATGAGAAATGGTGCAGGATACAATGAAGTAACCTTTACAATTCATAATAGCACACGTGTGAAAATTTAATCCTAAGTAACAACCGCTTGATTCTTGAAATTACTCAAGTTTATTCCAAACAATTGTTTAATACTTGAGATTAATACTCAAGCAAGTCTAGACACAACAGTTCTATTCTAGCAGAGGCCTTGAAAACTATGCATTCAAATTTTACATAAAACAGAAGTCATCAAAGACAATTAAATAGGGAGATGGTAATGAGATCTTGGGGAAAACATAAAATGGGGAATATCCATACCTCAACATGAAAGGTATTTAAACCCCCTTTAAAAAGCTATTAGAAATTAAATTCTTATCAGAAAGCCTCTGACCCCCCTCACAAAATTACACAGTATTAATGAAAATGATTATCAACATCAGTAACTTAAAACTGCAAGATTGTACTTTAAAATTCCATTCCCAAAGTGCAATGACCAACCACAATTGCACTACAACCTGTCTGAATAATATGCAGATATAAAATTAAATACTATTGCTACAAACCCCCTTGACAATTCATAAAATGCACAGCATTATCATTCAATGATTATGTATGTATGCATACATGCATGTTTTTGTTTATACACTGTGTATACACATTATATAAACCTATGCACACACATTTATATACACACAAAACATCCTTTCCATTCCTTTGCACTATTGCAAGCTCTTGCAAAAAATGTTAGCTGCAACATGAAAGGCCTTGAGCTATCGTTCAACTTCCCCCTGTGGTTGTTTTACATCTGTTATTGCTTAGTTTGCAATTACTGTATGTGTGTATATATGAACAGATAATATACATACACACAAGAATAATACTGTATAAACCATACAGTATACATAGTGGCTTAACATTCATAAAGTAGCAATGTTAGCTTAAAAAAAAAGTACTAGACCAAACTAAAGAACTCTAATAAAACCTCATGATGATTCTAGAACTTGCTGCCCGAGAAGTTATGCACTTTAATTTTTTTAAAAAATTTGTAACAATTTATCTAGGTTCACCATAGTTATTAATGAGTTTCAGTTAGTAGCTAATTTATTTCTGCATTTAAAACACTCATAACATCAAACTTCTCTTGCTTCTGGTCGTTATACTGCTTACTTCAACCCAAAGTTTTTTGTGATCTGAAAAATTATATCAGACATTATAACTAACCGTAATAACTATTTGCTAATATGTTACTTTTCATATTATACTCATAAATGCTATTTTTTTTTTAACCTCAATGGCCATTTCCTGCAAAGGCAGGGTAACCCAAAGAAACATTCACTACCATTCTATTAATAATGCTTTCTCCAGAACTGTGCTAACATGCCAGTTCAAGTGTCCTGCAACTGCAACATCCCCCACCCCTTTCAGTGTGCAGGCCCTGCCCTTCCCACCTCCAGGGATAAAGTTCAGCTAACTGGTTTCCTTTGAACAACAACAGCATTTCAAATCCTTGAAACCTATCTCCGCTTCTAATTTCCCTTTTCTCCCAAACACACAACCATTTACTTTTGCAACCCCCATCAATACGTATTACATAATCATGGTCACATCATGCATCCCAGCCTTAAGGCCTATTTTACTGAAAAATGGCTCCCTCCTCACCTACATACCCTAACTTGAGCCTCACTCTCCTAAAAACTATTACCTTTAATTACTCACTATTCCACAGATTAGCAACATCTCTCACATCATAATTATATTTCTTATAAATCTGTAAACCTTACCTGTTCATACACAGTCCATGCCATGGCTGCCATAAGAGTACGTCTGAGCATGCGAGGGACCAGCCCTTTGAAGTATCCCTGTGGACCATACTTCCGGTTGACGTACCAGACAGCCTGATAGAAAGAGGTGAACTTGTGTGGGTAAAGCTGCATCTTTGTCTTAACAACATCAAAGGGCTGGGTAACAGTTGATGCCATGATGCCAGCCAGCACTCCACATGTGAAGTGAACTGGGGGAGCCATGTTGCCTTCCATGTATCCTGAAGAGTGAAAATTATTTTTAGACTTTTTTAACTAAAAAGTCTCATGCCAAAGCAGGTCGACATATTACATTCATTTGTCTGTAGCATTTAATTAAAACTATCAATAATGGAACACGAACCCTCATGCCTGCATACTTACGCTGTGGCACTTGCTTCTTTGTTTGTGTATAAAACATGAGATAAAGCCCAGAAAATGGTGCATCACGGAGGAGCGTGGGAACCAGACCACAAGTGAGACCTCTGGCACCCTCTTTCTTGTAGATTGAACACACAGCCTCTCGCATACTACCATAACTGTATACGTCACTCTGAAATAGGAAAAGTAAGATAAAAGTTCTTTACCTCTATCACAAAATACAAACTGATTGAAAAATTTAAATGGCAATTTAAGAATTGTACATTTTAAATGATCTAAAGAAAATCATATGCCTAATCATTAGTTTCTGAATTACCATTTAAACAAAATACTGCAAGGCTAAATACTGGACAAGTATTCATATACAATTAATATCATTACACTGCTTAAAGCCACAAGATATCTCATTACCCAATGTAACAAAAATAATGAAAAACTGAAAACTAGGAGAAGTTTGAAATTAACCCTTAAACTGTCCAAACGTAGATCTACGTTTTTTCAACACTTGAAAGTACAGTGGGCCCCCGCCTAACGTTGGCATCACATAACTTAAATCCGCATAGCGATACATTTTATCGCTAAAATTTTGCCTCCCATAGCTCAAAAAAACTCGCTCAGCGCTATTCGTCCGAGACGCGTCTATGTGCGGCCTGAGCCAGCCTCACATGTTCCGCCAGTGGCATTGTTTACAAGCCAGCCTCCGTGGTAACATCCAAGCATACAATCAGAACATTTTGTATTACTACAGCGTTTTTGGTGATTTCATCTGCAAAATAAGTGACCATGGGCCCCAAGAAAGCTTCTAGTGCCAACCCTACAGGAATAAGGGTGAGAATTACTATGGAGATGAAGAAAGATCATTGCTAAGTATGAAAGTGGAGTACGTGTCTCCGAGCTGGCCAGGTTGTATAGTAAACCCCAATCAACCATCGCTACTATTGTGTCCAAGAAAACGGCAATCAAGGAAGCTGTTCTTGCCAAAGGTGCAACTTTTTTTCAAAACAGAGATTGCAAGTGATAGATGATGTTGAGAGACTGTTATTGGTGTGGATAAACTAAAAACAGATAGCAGGAGATAGCATCTCTCAAGTGATCATAAGTGAAAAGGCTAGGAAGTTGCATCAGGATTTAATTAGAAAAAATGCCTGCAACTAGTGATGATGCGAGTGAATTTAAGGCCAGCAAAGGTTGGTTTGAGAGATTTAAGAAGTGTAGTGGCATACATAGTGTGATAAGGCATGGTGAGGCTGCCAGTTCGGACCACAAAGCAGCTGAAAAAATTTTTTCTTTTTTTTTATCATCACACTGGCCGTTTCCCACCAAGACAGGGTGGCCCGAAAAAGAAAAACTTTCACCATCATTCACTCCATCACTGTCTTGCCAGAAGGGTGCTTTACACTACAGTTTTTAAACTGCAACATTAACACCCCTCCTTCAGAGTGCAGGCACTGTACTTCCCATCTCCAGGACTCAAGTCCGGCCTGCCGGTTTCCCTGGATCCCTTCATAAATGTTACTTTGCTCACACTCCAACAGCACGTCAAGTATTAAAAACCATTTGTCTCCATTCACTCCTATCAAACACGCTCACGCATGCCTGCTGGAAGTCCAAGCCCCTTGCACACAAAACCTCCTTTACCCCCTTCCTCCAACCTTTCCTAGGCCGACCCCTACCCCGCCTTCCTTCCACTACAGACTGATACACTCTTAAAGTCATTCTGTTTCGCTCCATTCTCTCTACATGTCCGAACCACCTCAACAAACCCTTCCTCAGCCCTCTGGACAACAGTTTTGGTAATCCGCACCTCCTCCTAACTTCCAAACTACGAATTCTTTGCATTATATTCACACCACACATTGCCCTCAGACATGACATCTCCACTGCCTCCAGCCTTCTCCTCGCTGCAACTTTCATCACCCACGCTTCACTCCCATATAAGAGCGTTGGTAAAACTATACTCTCATACATTCCCCTCTTTGCCTCCAAGGACAAAGTTCTTTGTCTCCACAGACTCCTAAGTGCACCACTCACTCTTTTCCCCTCATCAATTCTATGATTCACCTCATCTTTCATAGACCCATCCGCTGACACGTCACTCCCCAAATATCTGAATACATTCACCTCCTCCATACTCTCTCCCTCCAATCTGATATTCAATCTTTCATCACCTAATCTTTTTATCCTCATAACCTTACTCTTTCCTGTATTCACCTTTAATTTTCTTCTTTTGCACACCCTACCAAATTCATCCACCAATCTCTGCAACTTCTCTTCAGAATCTCCCAAGAGCACAGTGTCATCAGCAAAGAGCAGCTGTGACAACTCCCACTTTGTGTGCGATTCTTTATCTTTTAACTCCACGCCTCTTGCCAAGACCCTCGCATTTACTTCTCTTACAACCCCATCTATAAATAGTATATTAAACAACCACGGTGACATCACACATCCTTGTCTAAGGCCTACTTTTACTGGGAAAAAATTTCCCTCTTTCCTACATACTCTAACTTGAGCCTCACTATCCTCGTAAAAACTCTTCACTGCTTTCAGTAACCTACCTTCTACACCATACACTTGCAACATCTGCCACATTGCTCCCCTATCCACCCTGTCATACGCCTTTTCCAAATCCATAAATGCCACAAAGACCTCTTTAGCCTTATCTAAATACTGTTCACTTACATGTTTCACTGTAAACACCTGGTCCACACACCCCCTACCTTTCCTAAAGCCTCCTTGTTCATCTGCTATCCTATTCTGAAATATATGTGCAGGAATTCAAGGAGTACATAGACAGTGAAGGACTGAAACCTGAACAAGTGTTTAATTGTTACAAAACAGGCCTGTTTTGGAAGAAAATGCCAAGCAGGACCTACATTACTCAGGAGGAAAAGGCACTCCTAGGACATAAGCCTATGAAAGACAGGCTTACTCTGTTAATGTGTGCCAATGCTAGTGGTGATTGCAAAGTGAAGCCTTTATTAGTGTATCACTCAAACTCCCAGAGCATTCAGGCAAAAGAATATCCTCAAGGCTAATTTGTGTGTGCTGTGGAGTGCAAACAGTAAGGCATGGGTCACTATGGAGTTTTTGCTATGACTGGCTACACCAAGCATTTGCCCCCCCCCCCCCCCCCACTGTGAAAAATTACCTAATTGAAAATAAATTAGACCTTAAGTGCCTCCTGGTGTTAGACAATGCCCCTGGTCATCCTACAGACTTGGCAGTGACTTTGTGGGGACATGAGCTTCATTAAGGTGAAGTTTTTGCCTCCTAATACCACTCCTCTCCTGCAGCCCATGGACCAGCAGGTCATTTCAAACTTCAAAAAACTGTACACAAAAGCTCTGTTTGAAAGGTGCTTTGTAGTGACCTCAGAGATTCAATTGACTAAGAGAGTTTTGGAGAGATCACTTTAATATCCTCAATTGAGTAAACATTATAGGTAAGGCTTGGGAGGGAGTGACTAAGAGGACATTGAACTCTGCTTGGAAGAAACTGTGGCCAGAATGTGTAGACAAAAGGGATTTTGAAGGATTTGAGGTTAACCCTGAGAGGCGTATGCCAGTTCAGGAATCAAATGTGGCATTGGGGAAAGTCCTTGGGGTTGGAGGTTAGTGGGATGTGGACGAGTTGGTGGAGGAGGACAATGAAGAACTAACCACTGATGAGCCGCTAGATCAACTTCAACAGCAAGAGGCCACACCTGAGAAAACTGCTTCGGAGGAGGGGAGAGAGAAATTGAAGAAGTTGCCTACTTCAAAGATTAAGGAAATCTGTGCAAAGTGGCTTGAAGTGCAAACCTTTATGGATGAAAATCACCCTCAGACAGCTGTTGAAAGCCATGTTGGCAACCTGTACACTGACAGTGTTGTGAACCATACTTTAGGAAAGTCAAAAGAACGAGAGGTACAGACCTCTATGGACAGATATGTTGTGCGACAGAAGTCCAGTGACTCTGAAGCTGGTCTTAGCGGCATTAAAAGAAGAAGGGAAGTAACCCCGGAAAAGTACTTGACACCTCAAGTCCTAATGGAAGGGGATTCCCCTTCTAAACACTAAAGACCATCAACACTCCCCTCCTCCCATCCCATCAATCATCACCAGATCTTCAATAAAGGTAAGTGTCATGTAACTGTGCATGTCTTCTTCAGTTTGTGTGTATTAAAATTAATATTTCATGTGGTAAAAATTTTTTTTTGTTCATACTCTGTGGTGTCAGGAACGGATTAATTTGATTTCCATTATTTCTTATGGGGAAAATTCATTCGCCTAACGATAATTTCGTCTAACATTGAGCTCTCAGGAGTGGATTAATAGCATTATGTGAGGGTCCACTGTATATGTAAAACAAGTAGATTTTTTTTTTTTTTTTTTTTTTTTTTTTACATTTGAAAACGTGTAAAAAAAACTTTGATCTACCTCCTTTTTGTTATATTTGAAAATATGTAAAAAATATGTAATCTACTTTTGGAGCACTACGCATGTGAACGTAGATCTGCTTGGACAGTTTAAGGGTTAAATATAATTTTCATACCTCATATCTGGTCTTGATGACTGTGATGGGGATCATAGTGACACCTGTGATCGTACGAGCCACTGCCCCAAGCATAATAGCTTCCAAAGGCCCTGGATGACCCTCACAATAAGTAGACTTCAGCCAATGCAGAGATGAAAAATACAGGCCCACCCCTGGCACACATCGGAAGATGCTCTGAAATTTACCGTAATTTGTAAAACCTTGTAACTGCCAAGTAATAAATGCTTGCTTGTACTATATAGTGTCTTATAATTGCACTTTAAGTTACTCATTCTGTAATGATTTTTTATTACGATGATCACCAAGACCTACAGATAACATTTGTACGTACTTACATATTTAATACACACATTTAATATAGGATAACATATACTGTACAAGTCACTGACTTTTTTGGGTTATCCCAGGTTCTCTACACATATGCTGCTATGTATGATAATCTATGTAACTGTAACTGTGTATACTTGAAGAAACTAACTGAAATAATAATAATAATAATAATAAGTTTATTAAGACATGATACATATTTGTACAAGGAATTATAGTAGTTGGGTGTACATGCCAAAAGCCCCTATGCAGAGCATTATGGATAGGCTTACTTAAACATTGAAACTTATTCCCATCGTGTAACAAATTATTCCCTCTAGCTGTTACCAACCCAAGGAATGGGCTCTTATGCAACTTGAAATTATATACCAATACAAGTTTAAAATACTTACAGGAGTCATACCCTTCCATAATCCAAATAGGCGTTCATTGCGTACCACTTTACCCACTGTTGCTAACATGCCAGCAGAACCATCAGATCTGCAAGAGCAAAATTTTGAATAAGTATCAAAAACTTTCAATTCCATCAGAAGTTTTCTAGCTTTAAATATCTAGTGTTAAATCAGTAAAGTCTTAGAAATGTCACTTTAAATCATATCTATGTAGTACAGTCCTGCAACAAAACTTAGGGTAACTACAGAGTATAAGAAACAGTGGTTAAAGGATATTCAGTACTCAACCGAGTTCACAATTGCGTTAGTAGGAATGTAGCTAGTGAATGTAAAATATGCAACATTCTAAACTTAACAATAACACGCCTGGAAAATCCTAGAGGGACTAGTACCGAACTTGCACAAGAAAATCACTCACAACGAAAGCAAAGACTCGGCAGACGATGCAACATCCCCCCAATGAAAAGCAGGGGTGTCACTAGCACGTTAAGAGACAATACAGTAGGTGTCAGGGGCCCGAGACTGTTCAACTGCCTCCCAGCATACATAAGGGGGATTACCAATAGACCCCTGGCTGTCTTCAAGCAGGCACTGGACAAGCACCTAAAGTCGGTACCTGACCAGCTAGGCTGTGGCTCGTACGTTGGATTGCGTGCAGCCAGCAATAACAGCCTGGTTGATCAGGCTCTGATCCACCAGGAGGCCTGGTCACAGACCGGGCCACGGGGGCGTTGACCCCCGGAACTCTCTCCAGGTAAACGCCAGGTAAACATGTGAACCAAGTGCAACAGTGCACTAATCAATGAGTGATTGCATTGTTTCTAACTCATCATATTTTTTGCACATGTCTAAGGCCCTCTGATGTACATGATCAATGCATTACTGTTGGTCTAAAATATATTTGCAAATGAGAGAGAACCAACAGAGAAACCCTGCGCATGGGCTGGGGTTGGAGAGGGCACGCCTGGGCATGCATAGGCGGTTGCGTGGGTATAGGCCTAATGTGGGTGTCCGAGTAAACCACGGAACCAGGAAATTGGCAGTGCCGTCGGCCGAAACGTGATTAGTGGTCTCACTTAAGATAAGATAAGATAAGATTTCGTTCGGATTTTTAACCCCGGAGGGTTAGCCACCCAGGATAACCCAAGAAAGTCAGTGCGTCATCGAGGACTGTCTAACTTATTTCCATTGGGGTCCTTAATCTTGTCCCCCAGGATGCGACCCACACCAGTCGACTAACACCCAGGTACCTATTTGCTGCTAGGTGAACAGGACAACAGGTGTAAGGAAACGTGTCGAAATGTTCCCACCCGCCGGGAATCGAACCTGGGCCCTCCGTGTGTGAAGCGGGAGCTTTAGCCACCAGGCCACCACCATAATAGGGTGTGACAACGGAAAATCATGAGTTTGTTCATTATGCACCCCACACCCATCCTGTAGGCGGTAGTCAAAAGATTACAGAGGTACATAATGGGTCCATGGACTGGACTCCAAAGTTTTGATAGCTGAGCAAGTTACAGAGGGAGGTAATGAACTCAATTACAAAGGTAACGAACTCACAATTTACAAAAGTAATGAACTCCAGGTAGGTCTGGTCACAATCACAAGTTACAAAGGTATTTACAGATTACAGAGGTATGCAATAGGTCCAGGGACTGGGTCCCCAAAGTTTTGATAGCTGAACTAGGTACAAAGGTAATGGAAAATCATTAGTGACGCGACGACGCCATGACGAGTTCATGTGGGAAAGTACCAGTCATTCAATCACTCATCGGACTCAGATCTTAATGGATCAACTTCTAATGAGTGTAAATTAATGAGACATCAAATCGCCTTGTGAACTGAGGAAGTAATGATAATAACTTAGTTTAAGGGAATGTGTGAAGTGATACGAGTCGCCAGTCTCCGAGTGTGTATACGTTAAACGCGCGGCCCTGTTCTGAGGACCACGGAGTTCTACGGAGTCTCGTCTCCTAAATCGGAACAACCCAAGTGATATAATCCTGCTGGAAGATGAATCTCATCAATCTGGCAGGACATCTAAATCTGAGGAGGAAATAAATTAAGACGAATGCTGCCTCCTCCCCCCACAGTTAAGTAAACCTCCTTATTATATCACTCATAACTGGCCAGTTAGGTACGTTATAATATGACAGGTATTGTGGGTGCTACAACGATCTCCAGTAACCAACAATGAAATTGGGCAAGTGGTGGTTTTATGTTAACATGTGTAACCCTTTCCCCCATCCCAATCTAATCGGTCCAATTTATACATACAGTCCACAACTAATAGTAACGCCGTACCTATTGGCACTATCCACCCTTAAGCTATAATTACACTGGTCTAGGATAGAAGTGTTTAGGATGTGTGAGGTCGAAGGAGCCACTTGGAGCGACCAGAGTGGCTAAGTTTTCTCTCAAGTCTACACGGGGTAACTACTGTAAACAACATAGGGTTGTCACTTCCCAATGAGATTATCTATATGAATGCAATGACGAGATTCATACAGGTAACCTTAAAAATTCCCACATCATCTATATCAGTCTGGAGAAAACTATGGTAGGTCACATTTGCTCCTGAAAAAAATACAAATGAGACGGTCTCTAGGCACCATGATGGTAATGGTGGAGCTGTAGGAAGAATGAATGGGAGAGTGCTGGTGCCAGAGGACGAAGTTGATATCCTTGGGGTGAAATTCAATTCCAAATTGGCTATGAAGAACCGCATTGTAAATCTTGAAAACAAATCAGCCAGAAAACTGCGACTTCTTGCGACTTCTTGACAGCATGGAGAGCACAGCAAGACTACTCGTCTTTTGCCTGAACCCAGCCAGGATAGATCTGTCATTTCAACAGAGCCTTCAACACAGAAGGGATGTGGGCTACCTCACTGTTATATACAAGGCCAATTTTGTCAAAGTACCACATTTGGCTCCACTTCGAGGACAGTGAGAAGTGAGCGTCTACACAAGACAGGCAGTAAACAGCAACTACATTCTGCTGTACCTTTCTCCAGACATCACTTCATCCGAGATCACATATTCCTAGGATGACTCGTGCCTGGAACATGTTCGTACAGCATAATAACATCAAAGATATAAAGTCAGTTGACCAAGTGAAATCGCTGGCTCACAGGTGGCTCCAACTTCACCCTGTTCCCTATTTGTATGCGTCATAGCAATTACAAGGCTTTTAAACGCGCTGATATAAGTAACAGCTCTTAGCTTGTAAATAAAGTTAGGAACGTTAACGTAACCTTGTAAAACCGTGTAAAAAAGTTAAGAGAAAGAAAAAGAAAAATGAAGAGAAAAAGAGAAACTCCTAAAGTAACCCTGTAAAACCAGTGTAAAAAAATAAAGTTGCCCGGGTTTTATACAGAAGTGTAACCTGGACAAGATCGTGCTTTGGTAACAGTGGTAAGTCATAATAACATCAAGGGTCTAACGTCCAGTTACTGACCAACAGTTGAATCGTTAGTCTCAAAGTGGTCCTCCAACTTCACCCATTTTATATTTATGCTCATACAATTACAATTTTAAACTATATAAGTAACACTCTTATTGTAATATAAAGTATATATATTATACTAATTTAAAATTAAAAATTAAGTAATAATATATATATAGATAATATTATATATTTATTATAATATAATATATAATCTAATATAAATTATATAATTTATAATTATATATATAAATTATTATATATATAAATTAGAATATAGTACTAAGATTGTTATTTTATATAGTTAATCTATATATATATATCATCAAGTTATATATATTATATATATTATATATTACTTAATATTAATATATATATATTTATAGTAATACTATATATATTTAATTTATATATAATATATATATATATATATAATATATATATATATATATAATTATATATATATATATATATATATAATTATATATATAAATATAATATAATATACTATATATATAAATATATCACTAATACAACACAACACACACACACACACACACACACACACACACACACACACACACACACACACACACACACACACACACACACACACTGTTTAATCGACATGTGCCTAGGACAAAACGTTAATGGTGGGTTTGAAGGGACTTGAGCTAGAGTTCACCACAGCCACACTTGTATATAGAAATATACCTACTTGGGTGAATCTTATTACAGCTAACTGGCCAAGTTAACACACATACATATAATATATTACATATATAGAATACACTCAAGTACATACACACTTCAACACGGAAAAATCAACTGAAGTGTATCTGAAATCGAAATATACAGTCTTACCAGTTTCATTACTATTATTACAAACTATAATCATAGGCGCTAAACTCTTAAGGGTCATACAGTACTGCACCTTTCATATTTCTGTCCATATTCTGTTCCTCACTTTGCATCGCTCTGTTTAATCGAGACTTCTATTCATAGACATTCTAAAATTCAAGCTTAAGCCTGCCAGTTACACCCCTAGTTACAAGGTGGACTGATACCCCCACAACCTTCATTTACTCCAGGTCAGCCACACATTCCATTATAACAAATACGGGTAGAGTGGAGTGGAGGTAGCAACGGCTGGTCTATGAGCCCTCCCAAACAGCTATCTCCGGGGAGGAACATCCACCGCTGTCAAATTTGGTGACTACAACTTGCCTGCTTTATAACTTATTGTGTAGGTCTTGCTTTAGAATCCCCGTAAATGCCAGCCGATGCTATACTGTACTTCAAAAAAGTATCAGAAAAATATATTAACTGAAGTTTGCGTATATGTGCGGCGATGGCGCAGGGCTGGAGCGAGGGTAGAACTGGGACCCTGTGCGAGGTCAGCCAGCCAGTCAGGGCCCCCCCCCCCCCCACACACACAGAAGCGCGCACACACCAACCCTCCTCCCCCACCCTCTCTCTCAACTTTGTGGGCGGACTCTCCTAGTTATCTTACAAGGGTAAATTCATTGCTCGTGGATTATATGTAGTGTATATATTACGAATGTGTATGTCCATGTGCGCGTGCTTCTGTCATTCTTTTACCAGATAAATATACAAATACTCAAAATGGCAAAATTTAGTCTAATAAAATGGCGGTCATCTAAAATGAAATTAAGCGAGTGGAAACTACGTTAAAGAAAATACTAAAAACAAAGCTGTTCTTTCGGCATTAAAGGGAAGTGGCTATAGTGCCAGGGAAGGGCTCCTAATCTAAATTACTAATTATTCCCTTTCATTCCTTAGGCGCCATATGACGCCTACATAGGCTTAGCTCTTCCCCTGATTAAAAATAAAATGAACTATAATGGGCATTCGCCCTTATCTGAAACCTTACAGGTATGGAAGAACAAACGGTCTGGAAGCCCAGCATCATTCTGGGATCAATTAGAAAGCGGGAAAACATGCTTCAGAATTAGGGATTAATCATCCAGTAACGAAGAACAAAGTGATTTATGGTTGAAGCTATTTAAGCATGGACACTTCAAACGATATGCTGATAAAGATACAGATGCCCAGTAACGTCGCTGGATATACCGTGTCTAGCCTATACATCAAGTAAGCTCCCCGATTTCACACAAGGTGGCCCCGTAGCTGACCCTCCCGGTACACCTTAATACCAGAGGGTATACACCTAGCGTTGTGTAGCTCTATACATACAATGACTACTTTCATCCATATTTAATGGATTAAAGTATCCTTTATGTTAGTGCCTAGTGGCACTAGTGGGAACCTAGCCGGGGTAGCAAGTAGAGTTAGTAGACGCTTACAAATGAACGGGCCGTCTGCTGACAAGGAGACACCACAGTAATTTTCTAATAAACCACCACAGCCAGTTTCATTTAGTGTAGATGAAAAACAGGTTTTTAATACAAGGTATTGTTAGCTTTGGTTTTATAATTCAATATAAAAGGTTATACTTTGCACAAATTTGAATTAGTTACTAAATATTTCGATATTATTTGAAGCATATTATAACATTTATTTATTTTTTAACCATTTAATATTAATGTAGATTCTTATGATGAACATCCAAAACATTTTACAAAATGGATATCCTACAATGGTATTACTAGCAGCTTTGACCCTACTTTTCATATTAATGCTTGTTACATACCTGGAAACCAAAGTGCTAATGTGAAATATAAATATTATACATGTCGTGTCGAATAGGCAAAACTTGCGATTTTGGCTTGCACAACAACGCTCTTCTTGCCGAACAAGACAAGCGAAAATTTGTGTATTCAATGATTTCTCAAAAATCATTCTGAACCTAACGAAAAAAAATATATTTCATTGTGATTGTTTATTAAATTATTGTAAACTTAACTAAAATATATTCAGCTGTATTAGACTAAATTAAACTGAGCTTGTTATAATACTGTTAGGCAAGTTTTCCAAGGTTATTTTTCTACAAAATTATTAAATTTTACATTAGCATAAATGTGTGCGTGTATAATATATATATATATATAAATGTGTAATATATATGTGTATATATATGTGTATATGTATATATATATATGTGTATATATATGTGATATTAGTGTAATATATATATGTGTATTATATGTGTAATATATGTGTAAATATATGTGTAATATATGTGTAATATATATTGTAATATATATGTGTAATATATATGTGTAATATATATGTGTAATATATTATATATATATATATATATATATATATATATATATATATATATATATATATATATATATATTTAGATATATAATATATATATATATATATATATTAGATATATATCTTTAAATGTACAAGAGATATTTTTAGATAGGACAATTTTAAACGAGTTCTTGCTAATTGAAAAATTTTACCTATTCAGCAAGACCACTATACATACAAAGCGAGAAAGGGGAGAATAGTGTAGGAAAATAGAAAGGATGACGAAGATAAAATTAACATGCCGCGAGAGCGTTACCTCTGCTTCAGATTCTTAAATGCATGGAAGAGCACTAGACCCATAAGGGTTATACAGCGCAAAGGAAAATGGGAGACAACCAGATTCTTCCAAGGTGGGAGATCAAATCCAATTAAAAGCCCCTCACCAGTGTCAATGAACCCCTCTTGAGGGGCTTTGGTTTGAGAAAACTGCTGGTTCCCAGAAAATGTAATTCTGTTACTGTAGCTAGGGCTAGAATGAGCAAGGGATTCTGTAATTGCTTTTTACTTGGGCTAATAGCTAAAGTTGAGAGAGAAATTAAAAAATACAATTATAGCAACCATATATTTTCTTCACGAGGAGGCGCTAAACCCCTTGGGGCCATATAGCACCTGGGGAGTAAGGTAGTTAGGTCTGAACCTAAGGCAACAAAGCACCTTCAGTGAAGCCTTCACTGTGAAGGGTTAGCATCCATACAGCTTGGCTTCGGAGCGATTATTATTATAACAAGGGGAAGCGCTAAACCCGTAGGATTATACAGCGCCTGTGGGGGGATGGAAGGTATTTAGGGATAATTCAGGGAACTGGAGCACAGATCCAGTTCCCTAGATCAAGAGCCCATCGTCAGCATCAAGGAACCTTCCTTGAGGGGGGGCTTCGGAGCGAATGTTCAGAGCAAGTAAGGAAGCAACTACAGCCGGACTTGCACTATTGGGCAAATCGTTTGAACTTGGCAAGCTACTTATCTGGTAACCAACTCAACCTACTCAATTCTCCCTCCAAACATCCCCAACCTAAAGTATTTCAAGATTCGTCTACATGCACTATATCACAGCTAATAAATATCAAATGCATAAAATATATCTTTTACCATAATACCACGGAAATTAAATTTCTAGCTACCCATGAAGTAGGCAAGTGTAGTGCATATTAGGTCGCGAAATTCAATTAATTTCAATAATTTTATAAACGTCGAACCAGTAATATAATTCTTAGACATATATGACTTCAAGGTATAATTGCAGCTACCATACCCTTACTCGCATCAAGCCTGATTATCTTTCATTTCCCAGGGGCTGTACGATATCCCTAGGACTCGGCGCTTTCCCATGAATATAACTGTCAGCAGCATGTATACCAGCTTGTTCACTCACTAGTGTACTCTCTATATACGTACCCCATAACCGTTAAACGTTAGTCATCACGTGACTTCTAACGTATAACGGTTATGGGGTACATACATGGGTGTACACTAGTGTACAAACTAGTGTACATGTTGACATAATAACTATACACTAACTTACTTTATCTAGACCTGTCGAATATTTGCTCCAGGAAATTACTACAGATACTCCCTTAATATCATAAAGGAGAAATAGAAAAAAAATCGTCAGATTAAAAAAACGAGCATTGCAAGGTTCTGCAAATCAAACCCGTCTCTTTCCCTACTAACATTCTTAAATACACTAATATATTCGCATGCATACACAAAATGCTCACGGTATGGTGATGGTGGTCTGGAGGCGAGTCTTGACCAAATCAAGTGGCTGGAAAAGGATGGTAGAGCAGGTCCCAGAGAACGACCCAGCCACGAAAGACTTCACCAGCGGGGACTGTAGAGCCAAAATAATGTTAATTAAAGAAGAAAGCCAAAATTTATTTATACATACAAACTACATGTATATCCCAAATTAAAAATTAGAATCCTTCCCCCAAAACCAGGCATGTAGAAGGCTACTAAAATGCTTGGGGGCTTATTACTCTTGTAATTAATAACAGGGAATGAACGAGCACTGCGCACATGCGTGTAAAATAAGTGGGCCAAGAATATCACTTCATAAAAAAAAAAAAAAAGTCTTAAAGAGGGATCAAACCAATATCGATAATATCCTTGTTACCATCTTTTTATATAGTCACCGCTACAGGGCAATTATCATTATTATTATAATAAAAAAGAAGCGCTAAGCCACAAGGGCTATACAGCTGGGGCAATTATCAACTTTAGCTGTCAGCATAACTTTTTACTCCACGTTTATCTATATTCTAATATAAAATTCATAATGAGCTTTATTTTCTATTTTGCATAAAACAGTTGCATCATTTGTAAATATATTGCACCTGGCAGATAATTTATATAGGTGAAGATCATTGGAAAAGGACTGATCCTAGTCATTAGCTATAGTTATGGGAGCAGGGATATGCTCTCCAGCAGCAGTATGACTATTTAACCAATAATTTCTTTTACCCTTTCGGCACAGTCTTTAGTCTCAAATGAGGCCTCTTGGTTTATCTTTAAATGAGGCTAGGTGCTTCCTTTTTTTTTTTAATAGTCACTGTATAAATGCTAAATATCTCTGCCTTTTTATCTTTATAAGTTACGTACTCAAATACGAGTTGTAATAAACAAGAATATATTTTTTCTCTCTCCGAGAGCTGACAAGCGTTCTGGTTTGTAAAGTTTCCCTATGTATATTAGCTAACTTCTTAAGACAGTAACTGTTTCAAAACTTAACCGAAGTCTGAAACTAAACTTTAACAAAAGCACAAATATCAAGGTCACCTTTAACTACGGCAGTAGACAAGTTTCATAAGCTGGGGTGAGAGAATACCATGACTTGGCTCAGAATGCCTTGTTGCGTAAAGTATGTACCAAGCCATCTAATATTGGAATAATGAAATCATGTAACCTTATAATGCCATAAAAATTCACTGCAGTATTACTAAAAGGTTTGATTATTTATATATGCATGCATAAATTGGTACTGTATATTTGAAGTTGTAAATTCTCTAACATACGAGGATTATTTTTACCCACACAAGTGGCTGTGAACAGTTCTGACGAAGGCATGCCACCTGGAGAGTTGGCATCACATATTAAGGAGGGAACACTAGACCCGTCAGTGTCACACAACACTAGGGAATGGAAGCATTCAGGTTCGATGCAAGGAATGGGAGGGCAAGTCCAATTCCTTGGATCAAAACTCCTCACCGGCGACTTGGAACCTTCCTTGAAGAGTTGGGAGTTGGCAGCTTGCCACAACACATTCTAGACATAAGCTTTCTACTAAACAAACCAACTTAATATACTGCGCTTGTTTCCCGTCTATATATAATAGTCAAATTAAGTGGGAAATATAATAAACAGCAGTGTAGTATTTGCAAATAGTAGTACTGAACAGTAAAAATTTCTCTTAAGACACTCGCTATGAGAAACTCAAGATTATCATTACATTCATGCGGAAGCATACAGCGCCTTGTGGGAACAGGAGGGAATAGGGTTCGATCCAAGGGGGAGGTCACGTCTAATTCTTTAGATTAGTCACTTGGCATCAAGGAACCTCCCTTGAAGGATGATTAATTCAATAATACTCAATTTGAGAATGTAACGCAATGAAATATGTTATCTGGCATTGACAAGTTAGATCACTTTCTCAATTGTAACCTTAGTGAACTATGAAGGGCCGTTTAAACACCGGACGTTCTAAATATACCAAGCATTCTTTATATTCAAAACCATGTACTATTCGCTTAATATATGCAATTCATTCAATTCATTCAATAACCTGTAGCGTTATAGAGCCCTGGATAATAGGAGGCAATCAGGTATAACCGGGGAGGACAGGTTCAATTCTTTGGTTCAAAAGCCCCTTACCAGTCAAGAACCCGCCCTTAATAGGTTTGTATTTTATTTTTGTATGAATTAATCCTTCAGTCAGCAACACTTCCAAAAGTATTCCTGACGCCGAGGGTGGACCAATGAGCAGTCGTGCCGAGGCCCGGCCCACGTTCTCCACCAATCACCTGAGGTGGCACCATATTGTTAATGGCTAACTCGAGAGAGTTGGCAAGTATAAGGTACGGTATATTACGTACAGCACAAGATAATGGGAATATATTGCAATTTTAATACTTACACTAGCTATTCTACGAAATAAATAATGGTCTCCGTTTTGCTTTTAATTTTAATATTTATTTTTGTTCAATTTTACGGGTATGCCTTTAACGAGGAAGATATTTAACAAAGCATTTGAACGTGTTGTAATAGTGGCTCTTTCTACAATTGTCAGAAGCTACCTCATATACCTAGCGATTATAAATACATGACAAAAAATTAAAACTCAATATCTTAAAAAAAAAAATAATCTGGGACTCTTTCAGGGCATTCTAAATAGTGTTTTATGTTTAAATGAACATTTAAACCATGCACATGTTGCTTGGGTCTATGAATGAGTGCCAAAAAATCGCAGTACATAACTATGGCCTTTTCCACATATTTTATGATATAACAGATTTATTACTTTGGAATGTCTTTGGAAAAAGTACTGTACGTCTGATCAGCCAAAAGTAAAAAATATGTTCGTACTTACAAAGCACTAGAACTACTCAGCGCCTTTATATTTAATATATATATATAATATATAATATATATATATAATATAATAATATATATATATATATATATATAATTTGTAATTAAAGAATAATTTGTAAATGAATAAACAGAGTAAATCAAGAGTAACTGGGAGTAGAGTTGCTATGAACTGGTTTGAGGCAGCTCGCTGCCATCCCATCCCGTCCCCTCCCCCACCACCCAGGGAGGAGCGGGGAGGGCAGTTCAACACATCACATATTTAACAGTACAAACTCATGTTACGGGTAAATGTCATAAAAATTAAATTTGAACATACCTAACCCTAATTACTTAAACTGTGTACTGCATGAACAGAAGAAATTAGTTTTAGTAACCAATCTGTCTGGAAACCTTTAGCTGAAAAAAAAATCCGGTAAGCTGAAAGCTTATTTTAGTAATTATGACTGAAAAGAAAAATTCTGAATATATTTACTTAAAAAAAATTTCATATGAACATCCAGGTAACAGCTATAAAAGGTTTAACCATATACAATGAGATTTTAATCCCTTAATTTTAAGACGGAAATGATAGTGGTCACCCACAAAGAGTTACCACAGGTTACCTGGAGGTTATTCCGGGGATCAACGCCCCCGCGGCCCGGTCCATGACCAGGCCTTCCGATGGATCAGGGCCTGATCAACTAGGCTGTTACTGCTGGCCGCACGCAGTCCAACGTACGAGCCACAGCCCGGCTGATCCGGCACTGACTTTAGGTATCTGTCCAGCTCTTCTTGAAGGCAGCCAGGGGTTTATTGGCAATTCCCCTAATGCTTGATGGGAGGCTGTTGAACAGTTTTGGGCCCCGGACACTTATGGCGTTTTCTCTTAGTGTACCAATGGCGCCCCTACTTTTTATTGGCGGCATTTTGCATCGCCTGCCCAGTCTTTTACTTTCGTAGGGAGTGATTTCTGTGTGCAGATTTGGGACCATTCCTTCCAAGATTTTCCAAGTGTAGATTATGATATATCTCTCCCTCCTGCGTTCCAACGAGTACAAGTCAAGTGCTTCCAAGCGTTCCCAGTAGTTAAGGTGCTTGACAGAACTTATACGTGCAGTAAAGGATCTCTGTACACTCTCTAGATCTGCGATTTCACCTGCTTTGAATGGAGATGTTAATGTACAGCAGTATTCCAGCCTAGAGAGAACAAGTGATTTGAAAAGGATCATCATGGGCTTGGCATCTCTCGTTTTGAAAGTTCTCATTATCCATCCTATCATTTTCTTTGCACGTGCGATCGTGGCACTGTTGTGATCCTTGAAAGTGAGATCCTCAGGACATTACTACTCCCAGGTCCCTTACATTATTTTTCCGCTCTATTGTATGGCCGGAGTCAGTAGTATACTCTGTTCTAGTTATTATCTCCTCCAGTTTTCCATAACGGTGTCTATAGTATAACACTAAAGTGGGTTAGACTATAGCTTCTTGGGGAATGGGAAGTATTTAGGCTTGATTCAAGGAATTGGAGCAGTGGCTCAAAGAACCTCCCTGGAGGAGTGCAGGTGCACCCCTCACCATCCCTTTGGACCTGCACCCTTGAGGGGTGCAGGTCCAAAGGGAACTCGGTTTTAGGAAGGGGGGGGGAGGTAAACCCAGCAAGATTTAAATAAATCTTGTAGTGCGATACTCTGTAGTATGGCGATCGATAATATTAGGAAAGCGGTGCACTGTCAGATCAGGAACAGTTGTCCCGTCAATTGGATGGGTGGGCGTGTGGCACAGCCTCGACCTAGGGTCCCAGGCGGCCACTCGCAGACTATACGGCAGTCACACACGCGTCTAGTACTAGTATACAGCACAAAGCCACACGGGTGACAAGTAAAATCAAGTGCGAGGAATACAAAAAATTATTCCTGCTGAGGAAATGAAAAAAAAATTGTAACTGGCTATGACACTGCTACAATGAGCATTATGGCGAAATCTACATACCTTAATGGGAGAAGAGATCATTGTGAAAATGTCTTTGCTGTTCAGATGTGGGGAAGGAATACCGTAAAGAGGATACATGCTACTGTATATAAACATGGGATAGTAGATTAGTAGATGTTTACTGAGCAACCGAGTAGTTTTGGTACTATTCAAAACTAAATTTTCATTTTAAAGGGAAACATTTTAATTAACTTGAGCATTATGAACCTTATAGAAATTGCCAGGTTGTCAGACTTAATATCTGAACTAAGGAATTCTTCACTTGTCAGTAAATTCACTTTACGTGATTAGAAAAAAAAAGCTTTTGAATTACAAGAAATATTTAATGGAATTAAGCCTTCTGTTTAAAACTGCAAACACGTTCAGTATCACTTTACTTACGTATATACCTGCACCTACGTTTAAGATACTATAATCATTAACAATTGAAATGAACTATTATCAAAAAGAAGCGCTAAACCTACCAGGGTCATATAGCGCTGCAAATAAACTAACAGCCTTTGTTGCGTCTACCAAGCTAGTGAATGACAGGTACTCGGTTCGATTTAAGGTTCAGTTCCTTGGATTCAGAGCATCAGCATCAAGGTAGCTCTTCATGGGTATAGAAACTGATAATATTTATAGTATCATGCTTGGTATTATAATTATAATAAAAAAGAAGCTTAGCGCTTCTTTTTGATAATACCAAGCATGATACTATAAATATTATCAGTTTCTATACCCATGAAGAGCTACCTTGATGCTGATGCTCTGAATCCAAGGAACTAAACCTTAAATCGAACCGAGTACCTGTCATTCACTAGGACGCCAAAAAAGTTAGGCATGATTTTTAAAGTACCCTTGTCAATAAGATTAACATTTCACCATTAATATTACTTACCATGGTTATAGCGTCCAGGCGTGCCATCTTTTCAGTTTTTACAATTAATACACGCTCTTGTTCCTTCTTTGGGGTTTCACCTGGCATTAGATACGCCTTCCCTTGGAGATTCTTATTTCCAGGGGCCACTATGTCCCTCCAATAACTGGGCTATATCACAATATTTTATACACAAACTCAGAGCAACGACACTGCAATGTCTCACCTATCCTGCGTATCGGAATAGTCTGAGTAATAAATCTCGTTTACGCGAACAGAGATTTGTACATTTTCAGATATTGTAGAAACCACCATGGTAAACCATTAATAAGACCACTGAACTGATCTATTTTGAGGGTCGATGGTAGCGTCACCAGAGCACAGGGTGAAGGACTCGGACAGACTTCTTATGTATGTTGCTGCGTCGGTGGCTGGTGGGAGAGTGAGCGTCACTACTCACTCCACGATATATTATACTTGGTGGCGACTGACAACTCTCTCCTCCACGATGCAGAATACCTGCAGAAATACCACTTGGTCACAAATTGAGCAACAATGGTGGTTAATTGAGTATCTTAAGAGTTTACAGGATACTTTAAATTGCGTTTAGACCTTCAAATATTAAGGTTAAGTTAACTTACAGTACGTATTACAAACAAACCTGGAGGTCTCGCACGCGCGCTCTCCTCACTCCAACATTTATGGTTTCACCACAAAAAACGGGAACAAACATGGCTGATGACGCAACACATAAGCACAATTGCAATAAAAATAAGAACTTTGTCATCTGGATTTGTGTAAATAGAAGATCATCACCAAGCAGAACGCTGTTGTAGGTTAAACAAAAAGATACTAGGTTTACAATGAAAGCTTAAATATGCATGTCTCCCGACCATCATGTAAATTTTATAATTACACAATTTTTTAACGTTAACTCTCAATATTAGCCAAGAGAAGGTTCTGAATGTTGAGCTCTAGCCCATGAGCCCGCTTCTTACCTTTGGTTGATGTTAATTATCTCATTTAAATCTGCAAGTGGTTTTAGTTCAGTGGTAGACCGTTTGGCTACAATCGAACAGATTCGGGTTCGATTCCCAGGCTAGCGAAGACATAGGGATATTTCCTTAGACTTGCAGTCTATGTTCACCCAGCCAGTGATGATCCTATTTAAATCACTTGTTTTCTCTAGGATGGAATACTGCAAACATTATCATCTCCATTCCAGGCAGGTGAAACTGCAGATCTAGAGAATGTACAGAGAACCTTTACTGCACATATAAGTTCCATCAAACACCTTAACTACTGAGAACGCTTGGAAGCACTTGACTTGTACTCACTGGAGCGCAGGCGAAAGAGATGCATCATAATATACACTTGGAAGATCCTGGGGAGACTGGTCCCTAATCTGCACACAGAAATCACTCCCTACGAAAGAAAAGACTTGGCAGGCGATGCAACAGACCCCCAGTGAAAAGTAGGAGCGCCAATAGTACACTAAAAGAAAGCACAGTAAATGTCCGGGCCCAAGACTGTTCAACAGTCTCCCACTAGCCATAAGGGGAATTACCAATAGACCCCTGGTTGTCTTCAAGAGGGAGCTGGACAGAAGCCGACAGATACCCAAAGTCAGTACCGAATCAGCCGGGCTGTGGTTCGTACGTTGCACTACGTGCGGCCAGCAGTAACAGCCTCGTTGATCAGGCCCTGATCCACCAGGAGGCCTGGTCATGGACCGGGCCGCGGGGGCGTTGATCCCCGGAATGCCCTCCAGGTAGACCTAACATAACCCCCTGGGGCTAATTTTAGGAAAGGCAGTTCATTCCACTTACTACTTTTCCAAAGACTTAGTCTAGTTCACTTAATTACATATTCATAACTTTTATGTTATGGAACAGTGATGGAATGAATAATGAAAATGTTTCTTTTTTCAGGTCCCCCTGCCTTAATGGGGGCAGCAGCGGTGTTAATAAATATAACTTCTATGTACTAGAGACACCAACCTGTTGGCATCTCTGATTTTTCCGCCTTTTCTTGTTTTACTAGGTGTGTTTCTACCACATCTCCATTCCTTATTTAGTGAATACTACTTAAACTAATTTTTTATTCTGATTCCTCAAGTCCATTTTTATGTTTGCTAGTCTATTTAGGTATGATTCGGAAGATAAATTAAGAATGCTGTTGGTTCTTCTGTCATCGTATCTCACGATTATGGGAGTGTTACACAGTATCCTGCATCCTCTCTAGTGTAAATTTTTATTGCACTGATTGGTGCTACATCCTATCATTGCAGATAGCCGTAGGTGAAGCAGATGTGGTAGTAATTTGAAGCAGATGTGGTAGTAATTTGAAGCAGATGTGGTAGTAATTTGAAGCAGATGTGGTAGTAATTTGAAGCAGATGTGGTAGTAATTTGAATCGACAATGCATTTATGTTATGAATGTTATAAGTCAGGTTTCTGCTTTGTAAAAGAAAAACGCTGGTATGTCTTGTTGCTACACTAGTGGAGGATCCCGCGGCGATGTGACGTATCTCTACATAAAAAAAACTGATTTGATTCTCCACTGTGTGAACATCGATTTATTGTGTTACTGTCTCTGATACAGAAATATCAAGAGTGACAAATTCAGGGTCACTAATACGTCTCTTACGAAAGTCTTCAGCCACTACACAGACAAGGAAATGTGTATACATCCGGATTCACAGAAGCGGAGACGTGATATCTTTTTAGATGCACCAGACCTTGTTCTCAAGAACACGCTGCCAGCCTGCTCGAAAAACAGGAAGCGTTTATAGAACACCTTCCTGGAAACAACACTGAGATCTAATGCAAACCTGGTTTAGAGATGAAAAAAATATGCAAGCCTCTCCGAAAGACACTTCCTTAATGCTGCCATGAGCTGGAAGTGGTGGTAATCGGAATCTTAAAACAGTAATTCTAATAAAAAGTTGAAGAAGGATATCCAGTTACTTCAACTTCTCCGGTATTCCATTACCGGAAGGGGAAATGCGTTGTTGTATATGGAATGAAACAGGAGTGTAAATTGTATTTATTTATCGTAACATCCTTCCGCATTCCTAGATACAGTACTTATATGAGGAATGTAGCTAATCAGGCTCGATTTAAGGATGATCCAATTCCTTTTATGAAGAGCCTTTCATCGGCCTCACTATATCCCCCTGAGGGGTTAAAAACATTAGAAACTGACGCTGGGAACTAGATATGAAAATTAATTGGGAACGTGTGCTGCACATAGTAAAGGGGGAAAAAAGAGGCTGTCTGCTTATCATATAGTTTGATTATTATCAGTATTAATTGCAGGGTTATAATGAGCAGCACGGCCTTTTACTAACCAATAACCCGCTAAGACACTTTTTTTGCATAATTAACATAATTAAATAAAACCAAGCAAGTCTGGTGTTTTCTAGCACTCTGGAATGTTGCTTCCACCATGACTGTAATTTTAGGACACATTTTGCATAGCAGCTTTCTTCCCTGGGTACGACCCTCAACAGACGGCAAGCGCAAAGGTAGTTAATTATACTGCTAGGTGAGCAAAGGGCAATGGGAGTGCAAAGAAACTTGCCCATACTCTTCCCCGGCCTGGAGATCAAACCGGGACCATTAGGTTGATTATTATTATTATTATTATTATAATCAAGGGGGAAGCGCTAAACCCGGAGGATTATACAGCACCATTAGGTTGAGCCTTACTGATCTCACCCTTTAAGATACTTAGACTGGCCCGGTGGCCTGGTGGCTAAAGCTTCCGCTTCACACACGGAGGGCCCGGGTTCGATTCCCGGCGGGTGGAAACATTTCGACACGTTTCCTTACACCTGTTGTCCTGTTCACCTAGCAGCAAATAGGTACCTGGGTGTTAGTCGACTGGTGTGGGTCGCATCCTGGGGGACAAGATTAAGGACCCCAATGGAAATAAGTTAGACAGTCCTCGATGACGCACTGACTTTCTTGGGTTATCCTGGGTGGCTAACCCTCCGGGGTTAAAAATCCGAACGAAATCTTATCTTATCTTATCTTACCTCTACTATGTGTAGTAAGAGTAAGTGTGCTGTATATCAGTCTACGACAGGCTACGTTGGTTAGTAGTGTAGTATATTATATACCAGTCTACGACGGGAAGTATGAGTGGGATGTGTTACATACGTGGCTACTATGAGTAGTAACTGGGGGTACGCTACCTTTCATCACCACCACCACGAGCAAACGTCTGGAAGCGATGCAGTCTTCGGGTCGATGAGTAACATGACTTGCTGCTAGCACTCGCTTGCTCAGTAGGTAGCTGGGAACACCACCTCGCGAGTCACACACGCCGGCAATTTTATTATTATTTTAATTAAATCAGGGCCAGCGCTAAACCTGTAGGAGTCATATAGGATCTGAGAAATGGGAGGCAATCAGGTCTGGTCCAAGGGGTGTTAAATCCACCCTCTTGGATTAAGGAACTGGACTCAGGACACCTTCCTCGAGGGGTATTATTATTTCAAATGTATTAATATTATTACTATTTTTAATATTAAAATTAATTATATTATTGATTTGCTTTTAATCAGAAGGAATCGGTAAACCTGTATGGGTTATTGTTATATTAAAAACATGAGCTAAACCTTTATGGGTCATACAGGTGAAAAATTAAAGTTAAAGTTGGTGTAATTAGTTTCCATTAGAAAAGTCAAGAGTGAATCAGTTATGATGGGACTTTCGACGAGGAGGTTAGTTAAAGTGTGTAAGGCCGTTGAAGTTGTCAGAAGTGAATTCTACATGATTCTATGATAGGACAGTTTATTAAGATATATACAACTGATAGTGCGACTCCAGTAGCCCTTGATGGTGCCCCGTGGCCTGGTGGCTAAAGCTCTCGCTTCACACGGTGAGTGTCTGGGTTCGATTCCCAGCGAGGGTAGAAACATTGAGCGTGTTTCTTTACACCGGTTGTCTATGTTCACCCATCAGTAAAATGGGTACCTGGGAGTTAGTCGATTGGTGTGCGTCGCATCCTGGGACAAAAACTAAACTAATTTGCCCAAAATCCTCTGCATAACAAGTGGCTTTCTATATGGCAGTATGTCACTTATGTCAGCTAGGACTGTAAACCTTGTACATGTACTTGTAGTAAATAAATTTATTATTATTATTATTATAAAAGATGCTGGATGTTTCTCCATGTGGTATCCATGGGCGAGTCCTTTGTGTTCGATACATAAACGTGAGAATGTAGTTTCCCAAATCCAACAGCGGTGGGAAGTTGACCAAGAGCCTAATTATGGTTTAATTGAAAACAATTTGTTGTGTCCTAACTAAGACCTACGTTGTTGCTAGCAGTTCGAAGCTCATGAGAGAGTACTGGAAGTTCGACAAAATAAAACCCCTGCAAGATAGGTAATTCATTAACAGCTTATTGAACAGCTGATTCTGCGTGTTCACTACCAAGAACATTGGTGTGTCCAGGGACCCCGGAGGACACGA